TCTAAGATTACCCAGGTCAACCATCCACCTACCACCAATATTGCCCCCTAAACCATGCCTCCAAATAGAATCATAGAATCACTGAGATTGGAGAAGACCTCTAAGGTCATCCAACCCAACCTCAACCCATTCCACCGTGCCCACTGACCACATCCCCAACTGCCACATCTCCATGGTTCTTCAGCATCTCCAGGGATGGGGATTCCACCACCTCCCTGGGCAGCCTGTGCCAAAGCATCACCATTCTTTTGAAGAAGAAATGTCTCCTAACACCCAACCCGAACCACTCCTGATGCAACAGTTATTTTCTGCTTTTACTAATGCAATTCTTGCAGCAGCCCATATTTTAAATTTTGCCAATGGCCAAAAAACAAACTTCAAAGTGCTGAAACCCAACAGATACCAGCCACGTTGGGTACAGTTGGATTTCTGGCTACACATCCTCCTTCACCCCATTTCCAGAGGCAATGAAAAGCATTTTGTGAAGTCCCCAGCACATTCTCATCGGAGCATCCTCGTGTTGTGGCTGCTATGGCTGTTGTCTTATTTCCACAGCTCCACCAAGAGGTACATGAGGGAGGAGCCCCGCAGTGCCCCCTTCCTGACCATGCTGCCAGCAGAGTAAGTCATCCAGCCCCAAAAAGGATCGTTTCAAAATGCATCCATATATTGGGTGCGTTTGGTGCAAAGCTTCCCAACACCACCTCTTCCTTTTGCTCTCATGTGGGTTTCATCCAGTGCTTATTTGCAATAATAAGAGGGCAATGAGGAAAGTGAAGCTTTCGGGGTGGGGGTTAAATAGTTTATAAGATGAAAGAATGATAGAATCATTAAGGTCAGAAAAGACCATCAAGATCATATAACCATCAATGCAGCCCGACCATCAACAATGGGGCAGAAGTGGTTTTGCATTCACTGAGTTGTGCTCAGCCATTTTCACTTTGTGTTTGGGAGAGTTTCTGTTCTGTTAAACTGTTTGGTGCTCAGTTTCTTTCTTTCTTTCTTTCTTTCTTTCTTTCTTTCTTTCTTTCTTTCTTTCTTTCTTTCTTTCTTTCT